GTGAAGCCAGATAAAACTGCTGGAAAGGCTGCAACTCCAGCAAGGTTTGCGTGTCCTAATAGCCCTGCAGCAGCCGCAGCTGTTGGCAATACTTCAGCAGTGTTTGCATAAGGAGATCCGGTTGGATTGGAATTGGCCACTGGACCTGTGACATTAGCATAACTGATATTGAGACAGCTTCCACTCTGTGGGTCCTCTTGTATCTTCTGGATGATAAGTTCAACAGCTTTTCGGTTTTGTTCAGGTTCTCCGCTTACAGTGACAACCCTCTCTTGCAAGTTGATCCCATCAGGTTTCTGGGAAAGCTGTACCCAAGCCCCTGACTGCTCCATTATAGCCTTGACTGTAGCACCTCCCTTCCCTATTATCAGACCTGCTGTGCTGTTGGGAACTATAATCTTTACCTGTAATTAAACAAAAAAATATGAATAATACTACTGCTTTGCACATTCAACATACTTAATATATTTTGCTACCTGAAACAGGCAGAAGAACTGAAGCAGACATAAGACAGAATTAGGAAGCAAGTCATCTTCAACAAGTTTTTACATATATTCTGAGATAAGGTAGAATGGATTCTGAAAGAATTTTGGCATCACAGAAAAGGAAAACCCTTTAACTATTGAGTGAAATATTTAGACAAATCAACATATTATTAGGAAAATATTGACATTTCCCCCATCTTCTCATTTGCAGTATCCTTCCTTCATATTTGAGTTGATCAAACAACATCTGTGATGGCATCTGCTTCAAATATACCTTTGGTAATATATACATATATTAAATAAAACAGACAAGAATATACATTCTAAATCTGACTATTCAAATAAATAGCTTAAAAAACCCCTAAAGACTTTAATTGGCAAAGCAAGGCATCCATGTGGGGAAAGTGGCAGGACAATTCCTCTAATCTAGTAAATATCTCATATATATATATATATATATATATATATATATGTATGTATGTATTCATGTTCATGTCTACATTCTGGAGAGTAAAATAGTATGCATTTTGCAATAAAATGTATCACTCGTCTGAGGAAAAATTCATGAGTCTGTCTGAAGAAAAAATAGTGAATTATGTAATTTCTCATGTTTTATTACGGTTGCAGGAATATTTTTATACGGGTTCAACCAATGAACTTTTTACTCCCAGAACTGAAGCTGTTTCCAGTGACAGAATTTCACTGATTTCAGTATTTCACTTCAGTAACAAATATCTAAAACACACATTTTATGTACATTTGCTTGGAAGTAAGTCGCATTCAACACAGTGGGGATTTACTTCTGTATAAATCTGCAGAGGATTGAGCTGCAAATGTCATACATTTTTTTAATTCAGCAAGGGATTTAAGATACTTGGCTGGATCCAGCGTACCTTCCTGCAAAAGAGGAGTTTCCTCCATTGCCGAAAGGTTTTTCCTTCAAGAGAGGAAGCTTCTCTGGGTTCAAACTGCTACTTTTAATTGATTATTTCTGACTGGCTGAATAAAACATAGCAATTTTAAAAATATCACTTTCTACTATTTTCTACACAACACACTATATACTGATACATGGCCACTATCTTAAGTTATTGCATCTCAGACTGATTAATAACAGTGAGCAACTACTAAATATGTAAATAAAGTTATTTTAATAATAACCACTACAATCACTCATAAATAATAATCTATGACATTACAATCCTACAAATGTCGACTCAGAAGCCCCACTGTGTTCCCAGATAAATTACAGTACTGAACCCTATATTAACCATGGCCAACTTGTTTCAAACGGATTTAGCCACAACCTAATTGGATTAGGACTACAAATATTTCCATTATGAAGCTGGTTATTCAGCTTATTTTTTTTGATAATTCTTGCTCTGTTCTATAACCTCATTCTATGGATTTCTCTCCATCATTGCAAATATGAGACTATTTTTTCCCCACAGTAATCTACTACTGTCACACTTATAAATGGCTTATACTTTGCAATTTACCACACTGGAATGCCCCCATCCACCTTAAATTAACTTGAAGCAGCAGTTTCTAGATTAAAACAAAATAAAATATCCAAATGATCTGAGCATGAATAAAAATGCCAGATGTCAAGCTTAGCAAATATTGACAATATAAGGATATATACTCCATCCAGACACAATTATCTACATCCATCTATTGATTTCTGTATGTGGATCAGGTTTCCTACTTTCAGAAAAGCTGACTAAAGTGGTAAACTTCACATATTCCGTGAACAGCAGTGCACATCCAACACAACTATTCACAAATGTGCCCCTACTATGTGCAGACTAACAAAAGGTTTTCCTTTTGGAGCTTTAGGAGAGAAAGCATTTCGCCCGAGAATTAAGAATTATTGGTGATAAAAGGTTTTCACATGAAAGCTGGAGTTAGCTTGTTTTCTGTTTCTCCAGAGGGTAGGACCAGAAGCAAAGGCTTCAAATTACAAGAAAAGTGTTTTTGACTAAATATTATGAAGAACTTTTTGATGGTAAGAGCTGCTCAACATTGTAACTCACTACCTCAAAAGGTGGTGGACTCTCCTTCATTGGAAAGGCACACTGGCGGGTCCTGGCCCACTGTTTGAGAAATATTTTTTTTACATGAAGAACTTTCAGCCCAAGTGCCTAGAAGGTGCCTGGTGCCAAGAAGGCTGGACGCCTTTGCAAGCTGTTGGGCATGAGAGGTAGAGCAGGAAAATTCCCTGTACTGATTGGTGCATTTCTACGGTGGTGAACGTGAGTGGGCAGGACTCGATCCCAATTTAAGGGACAATCTGCCTTCCCTCCAGCCTCTCCATTTGCAGCAGCACCCTCCCTGTCTCCCAGTGTGCTTCGGGGTCACCACTAGGGGGCCACGTAGGAACTTTTCCCAATCTGCATTTGGGATCACAGATTGGGTTTGTGCCTACTTCACACTGAATAGCAGGACAGAGTGCTAGATAGTATTATTATTATTATTATTATTATTATTATTATTATTATTATTATTATTATTAAAGTTATAAACCGCCTTATACCCGGAGATCTCAGGGTGTTGTTTAAATAGGTTAATCTTCTTGATTTGATCACTTTTGGCAGTTCAGGTGCAGGAAAAGTTTGGTTTAGCCTGGTGATGCCCTTTGGGCACCTTTCAGGTGACGGGTCGGCTCTGAGGCCCACTTCTGTGACTCCACGATTCAGAGGGTGAGATAGAGGCCTCCTTTGAGGCCAAACTCTCTCATCGACCTGGGGTTCTGTGTTCCAGGGGGCTGGAGATAAGATAAGGCCTCCCTTCTCACCTTCAGGGTGTAGCCGGGAATTGGGGCAGGCTAGGAAGCCGTGCCTCAATTCCTTAGGCAAGGGCGGGTTGCCCAATGGCTACAGTTTTACAGCTAAGTTAGTTCCCCCTCCGCTGATTTCAATTTAAGATCTAAATAAAAGTGGCTCAGTTCAACCCCACCTTATGTGTCTGCCTCTTTATTTGCCTATCAGGGCACAATGTCACCACTGCCAGTTTTCTTGCTTAAAATGTTTGCATAAACCCCCCAAAGCTCTAGACTTTGAAGTGATATAAACATGTAATTAAAGAAAGAAAAATACTTTCTCTAGACAACCTCTATAGCTTGTCTTTATTTTTTAGTAACCTTGAAAAGAAGAGGATATTGAGCCTGCACAATATATCTATATCTATATGTGTATAAGTGCACATACATCATTTCCTAATATGCATTGCACATTATGCACATTTGTCCTATCCTTCCTGGTATAATAAACATGCTTTGAATAGAGAAGAGGAAAACCTACGTCGATGCATACTTTTAATACCATTCCAATTGTTCATTTGTTTTTATTTTGTAGTCTAAAAGCATTATGTACTTCACACATTAATGTTTCATAGAGTTCAAATTACATTTGCAGGAACAATTGATGTATTCTGAATAGCTTCATTTATGTGTTTCAATTCTGTCTAATAATAAATGTGATTGTCTGCTCACTGAATTATACAATATACAATCCAATATACAAAATGGATACACATATTTTGGGTTACAAAACATCAATAGGAAGGTATAGAAGATCTCAATATATCTTCAAACAAGGTAGCAATCCTAGAGATTGAAATTAATAAAAGACACGCATAGGATTGTGCTGGAAATCATTAAACAGTAAGTTTTGGCAAATGCAGGTAAATCTGTGTAGATTTAATGGCATTCTATCTAATAATATTCAATTAGTTCACTTCTTTAAATTCCTAGAACACTTTTAGAAAACTGGATTAAATTTCCACCTACCCAAGTACGTGTACAGTGTGTGTGTTTGTGTGTGCTTTTGCTCTTATCTCTCAAAGTAATAGAGACGGGTTTGGTGGAGAAGTTGGCTAGACCAGGCCTCAATTCCAGGTCTCACGAGGTCAGACAAATGGGCTTGAGACATGGTGTAAGTAAACAACCTCACTGCCCCTGGGCAGTATCTGTGGTGAGCTATGGTAGACATCCTACTTCAGGCTTTGCAGAATGAGCTGGTTGTCCATGGGGATGGGAAATTGACATTTATTTGCTTCTCATTCTCCGATTGAAAGAGGAATTGTTTTGGGGTACTATGTACCACCAGATACGGCGGTACATGTTTCAGGTTTGGTCAATTTCGCTTCATTTCTGAAAGATAACTGGGTGGCAATTGGCAGGTTCCGTGCAGGTGCACGAGAGAGAAGAATGTAAATCAAATGGGTGAGAATTTCTGATGCAACCTGAATGGAGAAGAGTGGGATATTTAAAACAGCATGTCAAAGTTCACAAGCTCGATGTGACCCGGGAGAGGGGGCACAATTGGAAAAAGTGGACTCACTGACCTTCCTCCAACCCTTCTAAATGTATCCGTGGTAATAATTGTGTTATGAAAATACTTAGGAAATGGTGATGATAATGCATGCAGAACTTCTTTAGGAGACCTTTAATGTGGACTACTAAGCCAATATTTGGAGCCACAGTTGAGTCACCCAGTCAAGGTAGTTACCGAGTCACATTGGTAGCTGGGATAACTAGACTGAGGACCAACAGGCTGGCGGCTATATAAATTGCACGTTAGCATTTGTAATTGATAAAGATTATAATGCTATTTGAATCCATATTTGGGACTCATGGGTCCCAAACATTCTGTTATATATTTTACACCCCAAAGACTTATACTAATAGTATTTAATTAAACTTTCCCTAGGCAACAGACTGTTACTCTGAGACCCATCATCTCCTGCAGCCACTATCCGAATGAATGCTTCAGCAGAAGCTTTTCCAACAAAAACTAAGGAAGAATTAATAGAAAATGATCTCATATCACATGACTTCCTTGGACACAAGCTGAATCTTTAGAGAGCTCAATCCATTAGCTTTATAGCTGCTGTGTGGCACCAGTGGCACAAAGTATTTCTAAAAGATATGCTCTAGTTCAACCAAAAGTAATTGAGTTGAATAGAGAGATTACAGTGTAGAATTATATGGCCTATGTTTATCCAAGAAGATGATTTAAAATGGTACTTATTGGCTATTAAAACCTGTTGCTCTATGACTAAGGCTAAGGGGGATATAAAATCTTTCAAAACACTGATTTTATTTTTGTTTAATCATCTCAGAACATGTAGAGGAGCAAATAGCCTGATTTATTCATGTATGTCTAAGTCTACATATGGATAACATTTTAGAAATTTAAAATATTGCTACCTAAAATGATACAAAAATTAAATTACAGTGGTACTTAGGCTGGTGATCTTTGAATAAATACACAGTTCCTATTGCCTTCGTCTGGAAAGGCACAAAATGAATATTTCTGGTTTTCACTGATTAATGTTGAAGTCTTTATACCTGGGAGAAAATTCAAGATTATATTATATAATGTTAATATGAAATTAATAGCAAATACTTTGGCTGTTCATTTGGTTGTTGTGTAGAAAAGATGCATAACTGCTTCAGATATTTGAAAATAGAAGGTAGACTATGCAGCTTCTAGAAGCATAGTATGTCTAGAAAATATTGATTCAGACTCAGAGACTTGCTTGTGAATAAATTAAGCTCTTTCCCCATGTTACATTGAACCCATGGAGAGAGAAGGAAGATTGCAGACATCAGGGGCGGCAGCTAGTAAACTATGGTTAACAGCATTGGTACAAGCCAATATTTAGCCATGGTGTGAAGCTGGTTTAAGAATGACTTCCTGGTTTGTTTGCTCACATGTGTTAAGAAGCATACTGAAAAGGCTTGTTCATATCTTAGGATATTAAACCACCTTAAAAGATTATTTTAAAACCACGTTAAAAGATTATGGAAGCACAATAGAACCCTACAGATCACTAAGAACCTGTAGCCCCAAACTCACCTTAAAAGATTCTTTTGGTTTAATCCAATGTTTTGTGACTGGAAGGAGCCTCACACAATGGATATTTCCTTCTCCCTCCTGCCCTAAGCTTCTTTGTACCCCTGAAAAACTTATCCAGAAGACACTGCTTTGCCTTTTAGAACAGTGGTTCCAAATTGGTGGTCCATAGTCCATGGACCCGAGGAGATCTGTGTAACCCACCCAGGGGTCCGTGGTGCCATTCACATCACAAAAACTACCATAGAGATGTTAACATTTTCAAAAGTAGGGGGTCCATAGATTGGCTTTTGAAAAACAGGGGGTCCACAGTACTTAGGTAATCAGGAACCACAGTGTTAGAGTTTTGTGTCAGTTGATCAGATTGTATTTTCATTGCATCTTTATAACATCAGAGAATGATGCATTTAGCATATTAATAGGCATATATCTTATTTTCCTCTTTCTTATTTTCCTCTGGTTAAGGCAAGAAACTATTTGAACATGTAAATTCTGAGTCACTGAGTTACTAGTACTATCTTTTTCCTAATATGTTTGTATCTTTTAATTTATTCTAATCTTTGTTTAAGTTGTTGTTCATGTGCTTATAATCAGAATTCTCATCCTACATCTACAAAATGAACTTGAACCCCCTTGAGAAATTACACAATGTTTCTATGGTTTCCACATCCTCTGTTTTAAAATTAGCAGCAAGTTTGGGCAATACTGATTTCTTCAAATGAATCATCTAGAAAACGAAGAAATTTGGTTAACAATTATGTATTCTAAACTGATGAAGGATTTTTATGACTAGTTCTACAAAGAGAATTCATGCTCCCTTAGTTTGGGTGACTATTAAGCTTTTCAAAAACACCTAAGAATATGAAGGTAGTAATGAGGAACCTGTGGACCTTCAGATATTGCTGGACTCCAATTCCTGTCAGCTCCAGCCAGCATGTCCAATGGTCAGGTATAATGGGATCTGTTTTCCAACAACATCAGAGAGCCAAATGTTCCCTATTCTGGTAGTAAATCAATTTTTTTTGGGGGGGGGATGTGGTTAGGCATTGATACATCTAGGGTATTTCCCTGGGAATAAGCTGAGATAAAATAATGTACCATAGAATAATCACTGATTGCTGGTCTCTCATTGACCCTATATCCAACAGAGACGCCTAGGGAAAAACAGAGAAAGAAAGAATCACCACTGAAATGTATCTGGCTTTACTAAGGTTGCCTGGGAAAACACTTCATTATGGAAGCACAATGGATCCCTATAGATCACTAAGAACCTGTAGCCCCAAACTGTCCTTAAAAAAAAAAAAGGCAAGTTATTTATCTAACATTCACAAGAACCCAAGAATTTTCAGATTGGCTTCTTTGCTTAACTTCCCTGTACACCATTTCCTCATACTAGCCACTATAGAAACAATATGTGAGCATATTGGAATGAATTACAAAAAAGGATAAGCTATGTTACCAAAGTGACTGTAGCTGTCAAAAAGCAAGTACCTAGTGCTTGCTTCCCTCATTGCTATGGTAATATGTGGAAAATGATCACATGTAGATGCCCTGATCATGCTGTTCATTTCCACACCAGAACAAACCCTCTCAATTTGTCCGCTTACAATGTCGTGGGAAAGAAAGATGCAGTCTGGGTGTTTCACATGTTCCAAGCTTCACAGATTACTGATGTGGTGTGGTAATCTAATCTTACCAAGCAGGTCTTTTGGTGGGTTTTCAAGTTATTTAAGATCAGGGTGTAAGGATAAATTCCTATGCACTCTTAATTGGAAACATATTTCCATTGAAATCAATAGAACATTAAAAAAGAAAGAAAACAGAGTAAGATTGCATACTCACACATATTTATGTGGCCCCTTTTCTTAGAAATTTGAGTGATTCATATTCTCAAAAATATTTTATTCTAATTTCCCTATGAATGGGGCATTAAGACAGAGATATATCAATGAAATGATTCTGCAAACGATAACATGCATTCTGAGTCTTAGATTTTGCAAAGCTACCATATATAACAAGTTAATGCATGCCATTAATGAATATAGAATGAATGTGGAATTAAAAATTCAACATGCAATCTAAGAAGAATGCTGCTATAACTCTGGTTTAGAGATTAGAAATGGACTCACAGGGAAGAATTATATCAGTTGTATTGGAATCAGGTTTAGGAATAGCTTAGGAAATGCTTTATAGCCTACTTAACATTTTTTTTATTTTAATAAGTTTGTCACAAACAATGTTAAATTTCATTAAATCATGCTAAAGCTGCAATCCCTTACCTGTCAATAAATCCCACTAAATTCAGTGGGACTTGCCTCTAGCAAGGCATGTAGAACATTGCATAATAAGCTTACAATCCTATGAATACTTTCTTGGGTGTAAGTGACATTGAATTCAGCAGGACTTAGCGGTTCGTAAGGTTTCCTTTCTTACAAGTATTCCCCAACCCTTCCTGCAAGGCATACAGTGCAGATAACATATAATTCCTGCATGTTTTCCTGTCTGGACTGCTTTCAGAAGCCAGCCCTCCAAAATCGACATTTACAGCTCAAACTTATTGCTTGGATGTTTGTTTAAACCTAAACACCAGGTTGGGACCTGGGAAGGGGAAGGGGGCTTTAATCCTTTGTGCCTTGCTGCAGTCTGGATCTGAAGGCCCCTAGCCCCAATACACCTGTTACAATATTTGCATTGGAAGAAAAGCTTGCACTTACACCAATGCAATCCCAATTAGAAATGAAACTTTTCTTTCAGTGTTAATAGCAGGCACTGGAGACTTGCTCTGAATCAGTAACATAATGCGGCTGGGTGGGTCGGGAAGGAAAATGATCCTGCATTTGTTTAAAAAAGTATTACCATGATTAATAATTGAATTAATGGCATGTGGCCCAGTTTGTGCCTAAGTCCTATCTATTTGCTAGTTTACGGGGAGCCAAGTGTGATGCCCTCCAGTTGTTGTTATACTCTGACTCCCAACATCTCTTGCCACTGTTCATGTTGACTTGTGATGGGAGTTGGAGTCAAACATGGGGAGGGCGCCACATACCCCTGTACTAATTATAACCCTATTGAAAATGCAACAATTTAACTGCGTATTCGATTCCAATATTATTTTATGAACTTTGCTTTAAAACAGCTAACATTTTGCAACAAGTGGAAACAGAAACCAATGACTGATGTTGACTTGCTTTTCAACTAAATTTAACAATAAGGTTGTAAAAAATGAAAATGCTCTTGTTGGTCAGAATGGTTGGATGCCGGTGAAAAGTATGAATAGCTAAAAGTAGGGTTGCTGTATTTCAAGAGCTAAAAATCAAAAAGTTGTTGAGCTTTTTTAGGGCAATTGCCCAATAGCACTGACCCCGAGCCTCACACACCAGAGTCCAAGCCTGAAAGAGCCCAGGTTCCCCAAGCTAGAACCAGAGCCAGAGCTTGAGCCCAAGTCACCCAAGCCCAAACCAGAACTGCCTACAAACAATTTTTATTTTAAGAAAACCAAAATCCAGGACATTTGCTTTAAAACATAAAATTCCCCCCAGATGGGCATGTAGGACCCCAAAAAGAGGACATGCCTGGGAATTCCTGGACGTATGGCAACCCTACCTAAAAGGGAAGAGGTTCCTTTAACATGTGAATTTGCCAAAGCTGTAATGAGGTTATAAACAACAACAACATTGCTTGGATCAGAATCATAGGACAACTGAGCAGATGATTCCTGTTGGTGTGGCCTGTTCAGCAGAAATGCAACTGGCAACTGGGGGAAAGGCATGTCCTTTCCCCCTATGAAATGCCAAAGGCATGCTCAAACAGAAGGTAATGTTACCAAATTTGGGCTTAGAAATGAGCTAGAATAATTCCTGTTTGGAGAATGGGAAATCAGCCGTTTCAATGATTTAGTGTTGGGTGTTTTGCAGTTTATTCCACTTTGTCTTCTACGCTTCCTCTCCTCACTCTTGATTCGGCTTTAGGGATCATTACATACTGAATCTCATTGGCTATGCATCATTTTGATGAAGATAAAATAAAGCTTCCTTTTGTTACTTTGATGAGTTGTAGATTGTTTAAAAGGTACTCAGCAGCACCAAGGTGACTGACCACCATTGTGGAAACCATGGACACAGGGAAAAGGAAGGGAGGGAGGGAGGGAGGGAGGGAGGAGGAAGGAGGGGCAGAGAAAGGGGGGGATTTTGAAAATCTGCCCAGCAAAACCAAGTATTCCCCCCCCCAAAGATGTTCAGCTATGCCATATTTGAGATGCGTTCACCTAGTAAGATATTTCCAAAGTACGATGAGAAGTTGGAAGAGAGAGAGTCAAAGAAATATAGAAAGTTAACATCATTAACTTCCAAACAACTCCTATGCTGGAACTGCTGTGCTGGAAATTGATGAACTCAGGAAACCAGATTTGGAAGATGAGAATTAACTTTGAATTGCAAATTTATATTGTAAGGGACTGCCTGTTTGTAGGACAAAAATGCAATCTTAAATTATAAATTATTTATAGATTAAATACTCATAAATCAACTCACAATATAAAGTCTTCACTATTGCTCTCACATACAAGCATATTAATTTGGACATTTAATATTACTGACAGCAGGGTTTTATTCCAGGGTCTGGGTTGTAAATGAGATCATATTTCAAATATCCATGTTAGAAACAAAATATGTCAAGGCATTCTAAAAGTAATCTCACTATCAGAATATGTTGGTTAACTGTTCAAAGGTATTTACCACCCAGAATGTTCACAGACTACAATTTATACAAAACAACTCACATGTTATTGCATTTGTGAACTAAGTGCCACAGGTAAATATGCAATTCTTTGTAAAATTATAGTTCATACCATTTCAAAGTTTGCTCAGAATGGTATCTCTCAAGTAGGCATATTGCATTTTGTGACATGCATATAAATCAACATGCAACTTCTATTCATGATAGAAGTTTGATAGCATGTGCCCGTAACAATATATAAACTTTCCAGTTGCACCAAGTCAAAGCCAATCATGACTAGCATTCTGTTTCCAAAGCCACATGGAAGCCAAAAAGCAGGACAGGAAGGATATAACCATCACCTGTCATTTGTCTCCAGCACCTGATATTCAGAAATACATTGCAACTGAATGTGTTAGTCTATTTACAGATGACTGCTATGAAGAGTCTATGGTAGAATAATTGCCACTTTTAAAGGCATTCCAGGCTCACCCCAACCAGGATAAAAAATGGGTTTGAGCAGTATCCTTCTTCCTTCAAACTGGTTTCACAACCAACTTTCTTCTACCCCTGACATGGGTGCACCAAAAGTGAGGAAGTGATTATGAGGAATAATTTTGCTACTGAAATGAAGAGACTTCTGGCAGCAGACCTTTTTCTTCATCCAAACACAGAGAAGTCTGCAACATACAGTTAGCCCCTCGAGGGAATACTCCCTCCAGGAAATTTAGGGTTACTTCCTGAGATGGCCTATAACACGTGTGGGGGAACTTTTTTCTCCATATGTTTTAGAACTATCAATCCCATCAAGGATGATGGGAGTTATGGTTCAGCAACATTTGGAAGTCCAAAATTCCCCCATTCCTGGGCTACAGCCATTTGTAGACTTATAACCCATAAACCTGTCCAATCCTTTAAAAAAAACCTAATCTAAACTGATAGATTTTATATGCTTATTAGGTGTTGTGCGGAAAGCAAAATTTAGCATCATGAGAAAGGGTGTGTGTGTGTGTTACTGGGATCCCATTCTCATCATCTTGTGACTAATTTTAAAAATGTCTATTTTGACTTCTTTGTTCCTTTCCCCTCCTCTGAATTAAAACATCCAAGCACTTTAGCCTTTCTTCATAGGGAATGTGTTCAAATCACTTAGCTTCCCTTGTGTACTTCACTGCAAAGGTACCCAAAAGTATTGTGTGCCTTAAGAAATTTGTGGGTTGCACATCTTTTCTATTTATATTTTTGTTCATTGGAAAAATGAAATGAAATCCAAATCCTAGAAAAAAATATTATGGGCTATATGTAAGAATTCTCAAGTGCAATCCTACCCGCCATCACCATGCTGATGTCTGAGAAGGTTAGAACAACATGTAGGTTGAGGTTGTGGTGTGTGTGGCAGGGGTAAGAGTGGTGCTGGTGGGGTCCTATATGCATATGCCCT